CTGTTAATTTGAAAAAAAGAGTATTGTTTAGGCCTTGAAAGGCTGGTTCCAAAGCAATATTCTTATCCCACAGGAGAGCTTTGGAATGTTTTCTGAAGAAGAACAAGAAAGATGTATGAGCAGGATATTAGATTCACATAGGCTCCAAGTCCTCTACATGGATAATCCCAGAAAAATCCATGCCAATCTTCAATTCTAATGTCATGGTTTCCATAGCATTCCCAAAGGGTGTGTGTGTATATGTGTGGAAACTTCCATTAAAACAAGTCCTAATAGTAGATGGGTAAAAAATACCCTGAAGGAAATGTGGTTTTATAAAGTGATCACATCCCTTTAACAACTCATCCATCCCCTCTAAACCATTTAAATGTCCCCCCCTTTAAAAACAACAGATGCCACATGTGAGCTAGAAAACTGCAAGATCTGCAAAAATTCCAGTGGTGTAACTGTAATACTCAGGGCCACCTATCAGCAAAGGCATTGACTAAAACACTTTGGCTGGCTAATAGGTTTCAGCTGTAGCATGGAGACTGTGAATGGGACCCATGGAGATAGCTACTCCCTCTGCAGCTGATGATGTCAGCACAGCTGGGGCAGCTGCAGAAAGAGCAACACTGGTGAAGTATCTGCAAGTCAGTTGACAGTGACAATTTGCAAGAAAGGATAGGAAAGCAAAGAACTGCCCACCAATGAGTGTAACGTTTTGCAGAAGTACAAACTGGTCTCCTGAGAGGCAACAAAACTATAGTAAATGGACATTCCTTTTCTCAGGCAAGCAGGCCTAAGGACAAGTGAGATCATTTAAATAATATTAATTCAATTTTATTTCAAGCAACATCTAAACATGGCAATGCGGGGGGGGGGGAGTTGAAGGAATTAAAAGATGTTCATGTTTTCCTATGGAGGATGTTTTCAGACAGGATGTTTTGAGCTCCTCTTGTAATAAGAGTGTATTTATTTATTTAAAACATTTATTAACTGCCTTTCTACCTCGCAGAACTCAAGGCAGCTTACAATACAAATAAGGCATTATAAAAAATGCAGTAGTCCCAAGTAGAGCGCATTGCAATAGTCCAGTCTAGATGTAACCAAGGCATGGGTCACTGTGGCTACATCTGACTGACCCAGGAATGGATGCAGATGATGCCTCAGCTGGAGCAGGGCACATACACTCTAAGCCACAGCAGCCACCTAGTTTTCTATGGTGACCACTGTATTAACCAGCACTCCCAAGCTGCAAACCTGGCTATTCAAGGAGAGTATTATCCCATCACTCCTTCGTGGATCACTGCCTTGACGTGGCAAGGGGGCTTGCATGGTTCGATGAGGCTGTGGGCTATGCCGTGGAAAGCCACCCAGGATGGACAGGCCACAGCAGAGAACTCAGACCAAGTGTGAGCCACTGGAGAAGAAAATGGCAACCCACGCCAGTATCTTTGCCAAGAAAACCCCATGGACAGTAACAAAAGGCTAAAAGATATGATGCTGGAAGATGAGCCCCTCAGGTTGGAAGGTGTCCAATATGCTACTGGGGAAGGGCAGAGAGCAAGTACAAGTAACCCCAGAAAGAGTGAAGCGGCTCGGCCAAAGCCAAAAGGAAACTCAGCTGTGGATGTGTCTGATGGTGAAAGGAAAGTCGGATGCTGCAAAGAACAATACTGCATAGGAACCTGGAATGTAAGATCTATGAGTCAAGGTAAGCTTGATGTGGTCAAAAATGAGATGGCAAGACTGAAAATTGACATCTTGGGAATCAGTGAACTAAAGTGGACACGAATGGGTGAATTTAACTCAGAAGACCATTATATCTACTACTGTGGCCAAGAATCCCGTAGAAAAAAAAATGATGTGGCCTTTATAGTCAACAAGAGACTGCGAAATGCAGTAATGGGATACAATCTCAAAAACGACAGAATGATCTCTGTCTGAATCCAAGGTAAACCATTCAACATCACAGTAATTCAAGTCTATGCCCCAACCACTGATGCAGAAGAGGCTGAAGTAGACTGGTTCTATGACAACATCTCCTAGAACTAACACCAAAACATCTCCTAGAACTAACACCAAAAAAAGATGTCCTCCTCATCATAGGGGACTGGAATGCTAAAGCAGAAAGTCAAAAGGTAACAAGAATAACAGACAAGTTTGGCCTTGGAGAACATTGACGCAAGACTATCTTGCCCTGTAAGCCGCCCTGAGCCCTACGGGGGAGGGCGGGGTATAAATTTGAATAATAAATAAATAAATATAAAATGAAGCAGAGCAAAGGCTAACAGAGTTTTGTCAAGAGAACACGCTGGTCATAGCGAACACCCTCTTCCAACAACCTAAGAGGCGACTCTACACATGGACATCACCAGACGGGCAACACCGAAATCAGATTGATTATATAATTTGAGAAACCTGTATAAAGATCAAGAAGCGACAGTTAATAGAGGAGGACGATAGAATGGGAAGAACTAGAGATCTCTTCAAGAAAATTGGAGAAATCAAGGGATCATTCCATGCAAAGCTGGCCATGATAAAGGACAAAAAATGGTAGAGAATTACCAGAAGCAGAAGAGATTAGGAAAAGATGGCAAGAATACACAGAAGAACTATACAAGAAGGACCTCAATGTCATTGACAAACACGACGGTGTAATCACTGACCTCGAGCCAGACATCCTGGAATGTGAAGTCAAATGGGCCTTAGAAAGCATTACTAACAACAAAGCTAGTGGAGGTGATGGTATCCCAGCTGAGCTATTCAAAGTCTTAAAAGATGATGCTGTTAAAGTGCTGCACTCAATTTGCCAGCAAATTTGGAAAACGCAACAGTGGCCACAGGATTGGAAAAGGTCAGTATACATTCCAATCCCAAAGAAGGGCAATGCCAAAGAATGTTCAAACTATCACACAATTGCACTCATATCACACGCTAGCAAGGTCATGCTCAAGATCCTACAAGCTAGGCTTCAACAGTACGTGGATAGAGAACTACCAGAAGTACAAGCTGGGTTCCGAAGAGGTAGAGGAACTAGAGATCAAATTGCCAACATTCGCTGGATTATGGAAAAAGCAAGAGAGTACCAGAAAAATATCTACTTCTGCTTCATTGACTATGCTAAAGCTTTTGACTGTGTGGATCACAACAAACTATGGCAGGTCCTTAAAGAGATGGGAGTACCAGACCACCTCACATGTCTCTTGAGAAACCTGTATAAGGGCCAAGAAGCGACAGTTAGAACCGGATACGGAACAACTGATTGGTTCAGCATAGGAAAAGGAGTACGACAAGGATGTATATTGTCACCTTGCTTATTTAATATATATGCAGAGTACATCATGCGAAATGCTGGCCTGGATGAATCACAAGCGGGAATTAAGATTGCTGGGGAAAAGATCAACAACCTCAGATATGCAGACGATACCACTCTAATGGCAGAAAGTGAAGAGGACCTAAAGAGCCTCTTGCTCAGGGTAAAAGAGGAGAGCGCAAAAGTGGGCTTGAAGCTCAACATCAAAAAAACTAAGATCATGGCATCTGGCCCCATCACTCCTTGGCAAATAGGAGAAGTTGTGAAAGCAGAGACAGACTTCACGTTCCCGGGATCCAAGATCACTGCAGACGGTGATTGCAGCCATGAAATTCAAAGATGCCTGTTCCTTGGGAGGAAAGTGATGGCAAACCTAGACAGCATAATAAAAAGTAAAGACATCACCCTGCCAACAAAAGTCCGTATGGTTAATGCAGTGGTATTCCCAGTAGTACTGTATGGCTGCAAGAGTTAAACTATAAAGAAGGCCGAGCGCCGAAGAATAGATGCTGTTGAATTATGGTGCTGGAGAAGACTCTTTAGAGTCCCCTGGACTGCAAGGAGGTCAAATCAGTCAATCCTAAAAGAAATAACCCTGACTGTTCCCTGGAAGGCCAGATACTAAAGCTGAAGCTCAAATACTTTGGCCACCAAATTAGAAGGGAGCACTCACTGGAGAAGAGCCTGATGCTGGGAAAGATTGAAGGTCAAAGAAGAAGGGGACGGTAAAGGATGAGATGGTTGGACAGTGTTATCGAGGCAACAAATATGAAATTAAGCAAACTCCGGAGGACAGTGGAAGTCAGGAGGGTCTGGCGTGACGTGGTCCATGGGGTCGCGAAGAGTCAGACTTGACTGTGTGACTGAACAACAACAATTATCCCATCAAAGACAAGGAAAACCTGAAGTTCTTTGTCTGCCATTCTACTAAGCCAGAGAACCTCTGTCTTGCCAGGATTAAGCTGCATCTTGTTCACCCCCATCCAGCCCATTACTGACTCCAAGCACCGACTTCAGAACATAAACAGCATCCTTGTAAACAGGTGGAAAAGAAAAGTAGAGCTGCATATCATCCACATATGGTGACATTACAGCCCATGACCTCTCCCAGTGTCTTCATATAAATATTAAATAACACTGGGGATAAGACAGAACTCTGTGGTGCCCCACAGATCAAAAACCATGGGACAGAGCAGGAATCTCCCAACACTACCTTCTGAGATCGACCCCTCAGATAGAACTTGAACCACTATAATATGGTGCCCCTTACTCCTAGTGCTGAGAGGCAGGTCAATGGTCAGTAGTATCAAAGGCTGCTGAGTACTTACCTGAAGGTTTCTTCTTTTAGTGGGGCAAAGTCATCCAAGCTGGTTAGGTCACACCTCCTCTTACTCCAGCCAAGGCTATGCAAATTTTGTATGACTCTGCTGAAACCTCAGGGGGGTGACCCTCCAGTCATTATATAGCCTTGCCTAATAATTATTAGTTTCTTCCAACCCCTCCCCCCTTTTTTGAGGTGGGAAGTGGATGACTTTGCCCCATTGAAGAGAAGAAATCTTCACGTAAGTTCCAATGTTTTGTTCTCCTTCAGTGGAGGAAGTCAACCAAGATGATTATATACCCAAGCTAGCTGAATGGGTGGGAATTTTATAACCAAAAACACTGGAGAACACACAGAAGGGTTGTTATTTTTTAATTCTACCATTTCTTGTAAAACTCTTCTGCCAAATGCTGCTTCAATGGAATTTAACTGGTCAATTCTATAATGTCTCACAAACGTGGAAAACGTGGACGAAGTAGACACTCTGCAAATTTCCTCCACCGGCACCCAAGTTGAAAACACTGCGGGAAGCCTGAAGAAGAGGGGGAGAGGGGAAGGAAAAGGGATGTGTATCAATTATAATATTTTGATGTTGTACGTGATGAAATATTCCTATAATAAAAATTGTTTTCAAAAAAAGAAAAGAAAACACTGCTGACATGGCTGCTGCCCTGGTAGAATAAAGTTTCTAGGCTTTCTAAGGCCTAGTGTTTCATATGCCTTGCTAATGCAAAGTTTTATCCACCGAGCAATGGTTGATTTGGAAACCTTCTTCCCTTGATTGGCAGAATTGTGAGACACAAACAAGGAATCTGAACACTGAAAATGTGAAAGGCTCCTAATTCAGATCCGTCTAGCCATGGTAATTGCATCTAAGAAGGCTACCTTCCATGAAAGAAGCTTTAGCTCTATAGACTTCAGAGGTTCAATGGCATCTTTATCAATGCCTGTAACATCTTTGAAAGACTCCAGGTAGGGAATCTGTGATTAATTGGAGGAGCCAGTTGCACAGTTCCTTTTAGGAATCTTTTAATATGCCTGTTAATGGATAAACTGGGCAGTGTCCTATGTCCCAGAACAGTGGCAAGAGCTGCTACCTGCCTTTTTAAAGTGTTTGGCCTTAATCCCTTCTTCCAACTGTTATGCAAAAAAGAACAACCTCTTTAGAAGAAGGTTTTAAGGAGTCTATATTTTTACTGCTGGCCCATCTCTTGAATGCAGACCAAGTATGGTCATAAATGTGTCTGGATGCAGGCCTCCTAGACTGCATCATAATGCCCACAATTCCTTTGGGGAAACCCGACCTTTCCAAGCTGTCTGTTGAAGCCAGGCTGGGTCTGGATGGAGTACAGGTCCCTGTGCTGGCAGGTCCTTTATTACTGGTAGACTCTGCGGGGTAACCACTGGCATCATTACCAGTTCTGAAAACTATGGGCGTCTGGTCCAAAATGGTGCTGTGAAAATTATCTCTGCCCCCGCCTCCTTCCTTTGTTCAAGGCTCTGCTGATCAGTGGAATTGGAGGGAAGGTATACAGCAGGCTTCTACGCCACTGTTGCAGTATAGCATCCACTCTTGGCTCGAGGAGTCTGGAGAGGAACCTGGGAACTTGATTGTTGTCTGATGATGCAAACAAGTCCGTTATTGGCATTCAGAACCAAGTCATTTGATTAAAGATTTCTCAATTCAGACTCCATTTCCCCAGATCCTTCTATTAACTAGACCTTGAACATATTCTGCTTCCAGATTGATTAGATGCAGTTTCGCCCACTTGAACAGAAGCCTTGACTCCCTGTAGGGGGATGTTGCTCTGGTGCCTTCTTGACAGCTGATGTGCACTTTGGCCATAGTGTTGTCAGTCCTCACTAACACACTCCCATCCCGAAGGAGATCGAGGAAAGGTCTCAGTGCAGGCCTGCTCACCCAGAGTTCCAACCAGTTTATGCTGTTCAATGTTTCTGCATGGGTCCACTTGCCTTGTATTACTTGCCCCAAGCAGTGTGTTCCCCATCCCCTTTCGCTGGCATCCATGGTCACTACCACATGAGAGGCTGTAAAAATTTACTCCTTTGTTTAGGTCTGACTGGATTGTCCACCATTTTAGGGATTTCTTTGAAGCAAAATCTACCTTGACCAGCTTGTGGTTTTTCTTGCTGATATCCCTCTGATAAAGTACTAGGTCTATAGTTGAAATCATGAATCCTAGTGTGGTTGACAGTAACATCAGATCCATCCAAGTTTTTCTGCTAATCTTTCTTATTGGTTCTATTCCCCCCCCTGTTTATCCACAGGAAGAAAGATGTTTGCCAGCCATGTGTTTCTCCTAGTGCCCAGGTGGATTATGTCTTCTGGAACATCTGTGTGGTGACTATAGTGTCTCTAGATACTGACACTACATCCTTGGCTCTGATCAGGATACAGTCCAAATAAGGGTCAATGTGTATTCCTTACTGTCTCAGGAAAACTACCAGAGCAACTACTGCCTTGGTGAACACTCTCAGTGAAGATGAGAGGTCAAAAGGCAATGATTTGTACTGATAATACTGGCCTTGAAAGGAAAAGCACAAGAACTGCCTGTAAGAAGGGTGAATTGGAATGTGCTGCAGATAAGCTTCCCAGAGGTCCAATGATGCTAGATAATCATTCTGTTCTATTATTTGTAGAATAGACTGACGTGATTCCATCCGGAACTCGCATTTCTTTACCCACAGGTTCAGATTTTTGCTCTCCATTCCCTCAACCTTTTGGGAACTACAAACAGAACTGAGCAGACCCTCTGGAACTCCTGGAGTAAAGAAACCAGTTCCACAGTCCCAGTGTGTAAAAGGTGTTGGATTGTTCTGACACTAAGTGACATTTTTGCTCTGTCTTGGAAACTGGGGACTGAATGAAACAATGGAGCGGAAGAAAACTCTATCTGGTAACCGTGTTCTATGATTGAAAGCACCCACTGGTCAGTTGTAGAGCTTTTCCAGATGGGGCTGAAGTTCTGGAGCCAGCCTCCTTTGACATAGGTGGTGGGTCTTTTGCCTGGAGCACTTCTGTCTTGCTTATTGGAGGGAAACTGTGTTGCCACCTTGGATGAAAGTCAAAGGAACATGGGCTTCTGAAATCCTTGGTTTCTCAGCCCCTTGTAGGAGTTCTGTAGTTGTGAAAGGAATGAAAGGTTCTCCCCCGATATCCCTTTCCGAAGAAGAAGAAGTAGAAGCTGTGACGACCTGACCTCCAAAACTAGGATGCTTAGTGCATCAGAAGCAGAAAGCTGGGAAATTAGGGGTTAATGCCTCACGGTAAAACACAGTTTGATTGACAGGCTGCTGCCTGCATGCACTCCTACTTTCTGATTGGTTAGCGCCAGCTGAGGAGAGCTTTCAAAAGTCTTGTCAGTTTTTTTCAGAGGGTGTCAGTCATCATTAGAATTTTGACTTGCCAGTTTCCAGTCCGGAGGAGTGTGTGTGTAAGTCTGAGGGAAACAGACAAGTCACTTGAGAAGTGAAGGGACACAACTCCTTGCCTTTACTGTGTCCCAACACATTCAAAAATCAGAACTTAAAGTCTAAGTGTCAGCTCTAGCTGTATTTCATTTATTCACAGTCTACAGAACTGTGATTTAGATTTGACAGAAGGGACGGGACAAGAGGTTGGAAACTGCCAGTCTAGCCAAACAGAAAAGGATTACTGCTCCTAGAAAGAGGAGGATGTTTCTTACCCAGTTGGTCACAGGGTTCAACTCAGAAGGGACCCCTGGTTTGTGTGAAAAGGGAAACGGTCTTAGACTCCTGAAGAGTGAGAAAGGGAAAGTTATAATCCCACAAGGGAAGTATTCAGATACAGGAAGAAAGTATTAACTTCCAGGAAACTAAAATAGTTTTATGAAACTTTATTTTATTTTTTTAATCCCCCGAAGGGTAGCTTTATTGATTTTTTATTACACCTACGTGACTACAAAAAGGAAAGAAAAGAGAGGGAGAAAAAATGGAAGGGGGGGGGGAAATAACAAACTAAAATAACAAACCCCAGGATACAAACAGTATAAAGAAAGAAAACCCACACTATAACTAAAAACCCAAGAAAGTAGGGTCATTAACAGTTAGTATGCAGTTAGTTATAAAGATTAATGCTTTCATTAAGTCAAGGAATTTAGGAGATTAGTTAGTCCATTTTGTTGTATATCTAATTTCTTCTCAGTGTGCACATAGACTTCTTCCAGCTCATCCATAAGTCTTTTTAGTTCATAAGTGCTATTTGGCAACTCTTAGCCGCAAGTCATATGCTTCTCTGGCCGTGCCTCCTTCTGCTCCAAGTAGGTCTCTGTCCGTCTCTTCCAGGTCAGCTGCCTGGCCTCCTCCGTCTTGCTGCTCTTCCTCTTTCTGTCCGAAGAATTGCTTCAACCATTCTTCTGCTTTTAACACCGAGTCGATTTTTTCTCTTTTGTCTCTATATTTGAATTGGACCCCTTCTGGAAAAAGCCAGGAGTATTGAATTTGGTTGATCTGAAGTGTTGAGATGAGTTCTTTGTACGCTTTTCTTTTCTGTCGAACCTCAAATGGAACGTCCTTAAGGACCCTGATACTTGCTGATCCCATTTGCAGGGGTTTGTCTGCTGTTGCTTTGAGAATATCATCTCTTGTCTGTCGTCGGAGAAATTTGACCACGATCTCGCCCGGCAGTTTGTTTTGCTTAATATATTTAGAGTAAGAACGATATGTCACTTCTATCTCTGCATGCGCTTCAGCCGTTGCAATGCCGAGCGATAGAGCGATTAGCTCAGCTGCCACATCTTTCAAAATTTCTCCTGTCGTCTCAGCCACCCCTTGGAATCTAAGGGTTTTATTCGCTTTGTCCATTTGTAGGTTCAATAGCTTCCTTTCGTGTAGATCCTGCTTTTGTTCCATCAGACCAACTCTTTTCTTCAGCTTTTTAGCATCATGTGTGGTCTCTTTAAGTTTTTCATCAGTTTGGATCGATTTTTTCACAAGCTCGGTGATCTGCTGTTGCTGTTTTGCCATGCTCTGGTTTGAGGCAGCAATCAATTGGTTAAGGCCATCGAGTCTTTCATGAATGGGCCGAAGCAGCTCTGTTAGTGTGGAGAAAACATCTCCTTCCTCCACTCTCGGACTTTGAGAACCACGCCCCCCTCTTACTCCTCTCCCTCGGACGCCGGCCATTTTCCGCTTTGTTTATACTAAAGAGTGCTTTTTCACACTTCTTCAGCAAGTGCTGGTTTATCCGCAAAAAACAGCTAAGTCTCTGGCACGCTTGAGTGATTAATTGTCTTCTCCCCCTCCCCGTCTCTTTAAATCACAGTTCGGTTTGTTTACGTCTGGGATTCCTCCCGACGCCGCTGAGGGTGGGGGGGGGATCGGAACTCACTTTTAAAGCTTCTTCGCTCGTCTCATTCTCCAGTTCCTTGACAGTCTGATCACAGACTCCTTTTAATCATGCTTCATTCGCTGACCCGCTTGCTTGTCCCGATCGGCATTCAGCTATGCTCGGTAAAAACCGAGCCTCTCAGGGGGTGGACCGAATGGGGCAGGGAGGGGCGCCTCAATTCCCCGGCTTCAAGCCGTGGAAGAGGTCGCCCCTCAAGCGCCCCCGGCTTGGAGCCCCACACTGAGGCTCACCTGGGGGTGCCACTTGAGGTGACACCCCTCCAGCACCCCTGGAGCGCGGAATGCCTCCCCCGTTCAGGAGAGAGCCTCCGCCATCGCTGAAGCCATAGACCGGAAGCTCTTTTATGAAACTTTATTAAGACACATTGTTGCTGAAAGAAATCTCTAAGACAAACAAACCTCTCACTGTTAAGAACGGAGTCTCTAAGAATATAAGCTTCAATTATACTCGGTTGCCTGTTCAAAATATTCTAATTTGTATAATCAGCAAGAGTTACCTCAACTTCTCGTCCCCTGCCTTATTCCTGATTCAACTTTTTGTTTTAACTTTACTTCATGCCAAGTGTCATTTCCAAAGGGTTTTATAAAAGGACTCCAGCTGAGTTACAATACATCTCTGGCCTGGGCAAAAGTCAAATAACTTCTTTATCACAGGGTGGGACATGCAAAAATTATAATTCTATAATAGAAACACGCTACTAAGAGGCTGCTCAACCAGAGTGGGGAACAGTGTTTTGGCAGGAAAATCTGCCTCACAGAGAAGAAGGCACAGGGGTCCGTCATTGAAGGCACCACTTTTTTCCTCTCTTTAGTTTCCAATAAGACCTTATCCAGTGCTACCTCTCCAAAAAGTAGTCTGCCTGAAAACTTTTCTGCAGATAAACTGGATTTTGACAGTGGGTCTACCTTCCAATGCTTTAGCCACAAATTTCTTCTGACCACTAAATTAGCCGCCTGTACTCTGGTGCAAAATTGCATGGTGTCCTGGGATGCATCTGCTGCAAATTCTGTAGCTCTTTTTATTTTTAAAAGGGAACTCTTAAAAGTAAGTGGATCAGTATCTGGATCCTGAAGGAGACTGTCAGCCCAGACCACGATAGCTCTGGTGAAGTCAGACAATACTGCAGAAGCCCTAACTGCAAGGGAAGAGGCTTCATGTGATTTTTTTGTTTAAGGGCCATCTCATTTCTTCTGAATCTTTCAAGACATTATCTCTAGATTTTGGAAGCACTGCTCCCAAATGAATAGCGACCACTGGGGGGTTCAGAAGTGGAACCTTAAGGTCTTCCATGGAGACTGCCAGAACATACTTTTTTTGGCTATATGCTATTGCCTGGAACAGCCCACTCAGCCCTTAGAACTTCATCAAAAAAGTCTGGAAAAGGGCAAACAGAAGACCCTTTAGACAGTCTTTCAAATACCCTGTCATCTAGCTTACCTGAAGCCAATGATCCGGATTTTTATGGAGTATCTAGTTAGTAATTTCAGGTAATCACCTGGTAATGTTCAGGTTGCAAAAGCCTGAATAAGCTGTCCCGTGAATCAGAGTCGTCGCCTGACCACTCTCCTTCCTCTTTGTCAGAGCTGGCTGCCATGGATCCTCTAATTGAGGGGCCACCCCCACTTCTGACTCTGAACCTGAGGCAATTCTATTCCTAACATGATGACTTGTCTTTGGATCAGATCTACTCACTTGCTTCCCCAACCTGGCCATGCAAGAGGAGGATCAGTCTTCCTCCTCAGAGACTTCTTCATGATGGTTGATTTTGTGTCTAAAACCTGCAGATAATTTTGCACGTTTTTGTCTTGGTGGGGGTGAGGACTCCCTGGAAGAAGAGGATTTAGGAAAAAGGGAGGGGGACCTTCTTTTTCAGCTTCTACTTCACACTAGTCAACCCTTGACTGCCTTCTACCATATTCCCTGTGGGGCAAATATTCCCTGGGAACTGGACCCCAGTAGTGCCCAATGTTGACAGCGTAATTCGGTTCAAGGGGGCCCAGGGTGATCTGTAGGCCTACATCCACCATTCTGGAGAAACCGGATTTAAGATTGTGGGGGAAATGGCAAGGACGCCATGTCTGAGTTCATCGGGCCCACTTGCATGCTTTGAATGGCTGCCAAAAGTGGGGGGGCAGGGGTCATTTCCTGCTGGAGCGCACAGGAGCGGAGCTCTGGCAGTAAAGAGCCCAGGGGGTGGGCACATGCAACAAGCCCCACCCCCTGCTCCCAGCAGCCCCAGGCCATGCGGTGCAAGAAGCCCCTTCCTTCCTTCCTTCCTTCCTTCCCTCCCTCCCTTCTCTCCTTTCCCTTTCCCTCCTTATTTCCTTCTTTCCCTCTT